ATGACGATGACTGCGCATGCCCAGGAATTTTAATCGAATCGACATGGCCTAGCCAGCTGTGTGGCACGAATTATTTCAAAACAAACCAAGCCTAATTTCTAGCGGCCTAGGATAATTGCTTATTATATGTACTGCAACATTCAGAATAGAGGAATTCTTATTATATGTGGTTATTGATGAAAAGAGGTGAAGAAATCAAACAACAAACATCGTGATTCTAGTGTCGTTAGGATAATCAAATGATGTCAGAAATTTCGCCGACAGCTTTTTACTATGCTGATGAATTTGATTTCCTTGAACATTTGCTGCAACGGTAAGTAAAGTAGCCTAGCCTAGGCCTAGCTTGTTCGATTCTTGGCCGATCTTAATATAATAAATATATACTGCCTACAACCCTCCTTTTTTAGACTCCCGTAAACTTAGGATATATATAACGCCTATTTGAATGTATCTCTCCTGACCTAGGCTAGGCTAGACTGCGTGTGTGTTGCTCACAAGAGGAGTCAACCAAGCATTTCTAATTACTTTTTTACAAGGATTTTACATGGATGGAAATTGTACGTGTGAATATGACTAATCTCAGTAGGAATATCTCGCGAGATATCCCGGTAACAATTTGGTACATTTTGTTACATTTCGTTCTATGTGTGAATCGGGTACAATTGTCATTCTATGCAAATAAATTTTCTTGGCAGAGAGGTTCCACCTCCCCGTTTTTCTATCAATGGCATTGATTTTGATGAGGTTTGCCAAATCAAATTGTTAGGCATAACAATTAGTAATGGTTTAAGATGGAATATTCATGCTGATGATATAGTAGCTAGAGCTTCTAAGAAATTGTTTAGATTATGCATACTTAAAAGAGCTAATGTGCCTGTTAATGACCCTATTCCCTCTGATTTATTTCGAAACATGCTCCCTCTTTTTTGCCAACTTGGCATAGATCACAGGTGCGCAAAGTGTGGCCAGACAGTGCGGCCCGCAAATGTGAATTTAAAATTCTATGTGTGCGGCCCACCAAGTAGCATTGGCTAGAAAACACCTTGTTTTTTACGGCCTGACAAGGATCATATGTAAAAAGTAATATAAAAACTGGAAATAAAGTGGTGTAAAAGCAGAGCTTGGAGGTTTTTGGAAGCGCACTGGAAAGATCAAAGTTTGGGTGCAGCCCTCGGTGTTAAATCGGAAATTTACTTTGGCCCTTCAACCAATTTTTATGCCCACCCTCGGCATAGACCTTCGATCCCACTGTTTACCTGAGATTCCTTTTGGCAGGTGCGAGAGATTTAATAGGTCACCTGTTATTACAATTGCCAAAATTTTAAATAATAAGTTTTTTTTTCCATATTGTTTTTTCATTTATTACAGTATAGGCTTAATGCTATTTTAATTTTTGACAATGTAAGACTACGGTTTCAGCCTTTGTTTGTTAGCGACTTTGAAAGAATAAAGTATACCTGAATATATATTTTATTGTAGCATGGTTAAAATAATTCCCACACAACTATACTCGAAGTGGTACTGGGTTTGGTCATTAAGATTTTGTGTATGCATTTAATATTTAGAAGCTGTTTAATGGAGAAAGTGTATCTTTTTAGAAGGGTTAGCTTGAAGCTAAGGCCGGCTATATGGTTCATCAGAAGAATAAAAATTATTTAATATAATTAATATAAGTTACAACACGTTTGATAAATATAGAAATTATTTGTTTTATTCATAATGTCATGAGAATTATTTTCCTTTTCTTCATATGGGTTAAAAATTATAAAAATACATCGAAATACAAGAAATATAACATCAAACACACAGCAATTTACAATAATAAATATATAAATTATACCAAAAGCTTAATTTTTATTAAATAATTTATAGTATGTATGTATTTAGTTTTCCAACAGATTGTTGTAGGAATTTTTTGATTATTATTTTATAGACTTAATTGAAAAAGTGATTTTTTTAAATAAAAAGAAAAAATTAAACAGAATCTTGAATTCCAAGGTTTAAATATGTCTTGAGTAGTCCTATAAGTTGCATTAGCAATTTCAAATATTAACAGCATTCATTTTGAAAAGAAATCCCCTTTTTAGTTTGCAAAAATAATCTTGAAGAAAATCCCATCTTGAAAAGAAGCCCATTCAAAGGTCCTAAAAAGAGAGGCCTGTGGCTTCTATTTGAGGTTTTTTTGCACGTTACCATATATTATAATGCGGCAGTTTTAACAGAATTACTGACTCTGTTATAATCAGCATAATGTTAGCATTGTTGTTGTTTATATATTGTTATTATTGTCACTGTTAATGTTATTGATAGTGTACTATTATTTTATATATTTGATAGTGATGATATAGAAGTGGTTGGCACATAGGTTGTGGCCTTGGGCAAGGCACTTTATCTATAGTTGTCTCTCTCCAAGGAGTACAAGTGGGTACCTGGTAGGTTCAAACACAACCATGCGCTGATTACAGCTGCAACATTATGGGGCATGAGTTTTGTGTTCCATGTGCTTGATCCAGTGACCAGGGTAATAATGTAAAGCGCATAATAGTCTACAATATGTCCTATATAAGTCGACAATTATTATTTTATTATTTATATTATCAATAACAATAAATAATCAATTAAATTCAAGGAAACGTAATAACTTCTTCACAATGGTGGACCAGGGTAACCCAGACTGGAGCAAAGATGATAACCGTGACCTATTGCGTGGAATGATGATGACAGCGTGTGATGTATCCGCAATAACCAAGCCTTGGGAAGTGCAACAACGTGTAGCTGAGATGGTTGCAAGCGAATTCTTTGAGCAGGGTGACATGGAAAAGGATCAATTGAATCAGCAGCCTATTGTAAGTTATCGTGTCTGTGTGTAATGATAAATTTGAACCCAGTAAAGATGGATTCTTGTCTTTAATTGGAGGAAGGATAATGATATTTAATTAATGCATCTCAATAAAAGATGGGGAAGCTTTGCATTCATTCCATGTCATTAAAAGGATAGTTGAATATTATGACTTTAAATGATTTATTAGTGCAGGAAAGTGTTTCTTTTAATGCCTAATATGCTGAGTGTGTATTCCAAAGCCTGATAATTCACATTGCTTCTAAAAGATCTTTTGCCTGTTAAAAGTTAAATAGTTCAGGTTACAAAAAAAGGAAGTAAGTATGTATATTTTGAGCACGTTAAAAAAATTGATGGACAGAAATATGAAAAGAATAAATAAATAATAAAAATATTTATTGATATAACTCATTTTCAAATGTACATCTGTTTAATGGTCTTTCCATAGAAAGATAGTAAAATACAATAATAAAATAGGCAAAATTATACAATGAAATTACAAAAAATGTTATATAGAAAGACGACAAAAATCATTAAAATAATTGAAAATTTTAAAACTCACTTTCAACAAAATAAATATTAATTACCTTACAAACTATTATTTACAATTATATATACTATAAGAATATAATAATAGAATATATTATAGTAAATATGTATATGTATGTATATATTATATAATTATAATTACAGGTCTCCCAATTTAAAACCACTTTTTGTTGTCTTTAGCAGCTTTGGTCTCTGATTAATATACATAAATCAAGATAGCCGTTAACACTGTTAAATTATATAATAATCATCAAAGGAATGTAAATACAGTGTTAGAATAAAGGACATAATAATAATACATCATGTAGCATAGCTCTCAACGAATGTAGTCCTGTAAATAAATGAATAAAGAAATTGTGTAATAAAATGCTTCTGGCGGGACTCGTACCTGCGACCTCTCGCTGTCAAGGCAAGCGTCATAACCATTAAACCACAGAGGCTTCATGGTTTAAATACCACCAGATACATTTCATTACACAATAATTATGGCTAGAAACAAATAGTTGCATATAATAAATATAAATCAAGATAGCCATTTATAGTTCATTTATTTACAGGACTACATTCGTTGAGAGCTATGCTACATGATGTATTATTATGTCCTTTATTCTAACACTGTATTTACATTCCTTTGATGATTATTATATAATTTAACGGTTTTAAAGGCTATCTATTATCTATTATTTTCTTTAAAAGGCAATGATGGACAGAGACAAGAAAGATGACCTTCCTAAGATGCAAGTCGGCTTTATCGATGCCATTTGTTTGCCTGTGTACAAGGTTTGTTTTGTTATTGAGATTTTTTAAAGAGGATTTCAAATATTCAGAGCTGTTTCAAGAAAAATTATATTGAGGGTTATGTTAAAATGTTAAAGTTGCAAATTACTTGTAAAACTTTGCTGTATAATTGTCTCAGCAACACAACCTGATAATTATATATTTCTGCATCCTAAGAGTCCTGTAAATACTCTAGTGACATGAGCTATTGGTTACATGTTTCACTGTAAAGAATTACATGAACCAAAATTGTCATTGTATTTAAATAACATAAATTTAGTACCAGCATATGTTTTATAATAATACAATTTTGTAAATCATATTTTTTGTGAACTATTAATTATTTTTATGTTGAATATTATATACTGTACCCCATACGTAGATTCTGGGCATCCGATTGGTTAAGAATCATGCAGTAGAAATTACTATTCCCCTGAAAAATAGCACTTTTTTGACCTGTCACATGGTGCAAAACTCTACGACATGAGAGAGCAAAAGCACCAAAAGACAAATTTAATATGTCTTGTCAATATTCGAAACATATTGCAAGACGATAGGTGCTGTTGAAATTGAGGAAAATGAGTAAAAGAAGAGCTGGACACACTCTTTGATTGCCTAGTAGGTCTAGGCCCTAGTTAGTAGGCCTCTAGCTAGGCTAGGCTAGGAAGTAAGTACTTTTTTAGGCCTTGTAGAATCTATGTATGAGGTATATAAAACAATATTGACTGCTCTAGATTCGGGGAACTGTGAAATCTATTGCCCCTCGGTGATGTGGAGACCGTAGCCTACCTTTCCTTGGGCCTTTGGTCCCCTGAAGAAAGCTACGATTTCCACATCACCTCGGGGAAATAGATTTCACCGTCTGAACGGATTGTCATTAAATACTTTGCGTGCGTCGTCATGTTGCGTCCTTCATAGAATCGAGTTAGCAGAAGACCATCGGGTGCTGTGAGTGGCTTAATGTACAAAACATCATAGCATGTTGGATATGAACTAATTTTTATTTACTTTTATTTATTTATTTATTTTTTAAAATTTTTTTTATTATTATATTTTTATTTTAAAATGTTATATAAATTATTGCATGCTATTTAATTTTTAATGACGCTGTTAGGAGAGCCACTTGTTATATTTTTCCAGAAATTAAATTTGAATTGAATTGAATTGAACATTTTGGCTGAAAATAACAGGAAGAAGTTGTTAGGAAAAAAGATACATTATTGCAAATGGGATATACTGGCATCTGATTGGTTGATTATGGACAAGGTCAACATGCTAATCATTAGCTGCCATGATCCATTAATTGATCCTGATTGGCTTATCCTGATATATACTGGCATCTGATTGGTTGATTATGAACAAGGTCAACATGCTAACCATTAGCTGCCATGATCCATTAATTGATCCTGATTGGCTTATCCTGATCAGCTTATATCAATCGGGCATTCTCACGTGCAGTGCTAACTATTAAGAATGGTAGCTTCCAGTCAGGATGAAAATGCTCTGGTGTGAACTAGGCCGAAAAGAGTAGGGGTTATCTCCCAGTGTATTGCCCAATTCACCACCAGAAGGATGCCACTGGAAATAAGTCTTATCCAATCAAAATGTTTAAAATGCTCTCTCTCTCTGATTGGTGGCTGTGCTGTGTGATCCCTCATTGAATCTTTACACATTTGCTATCAGTTAGAATAAAGAGTGGGTACTTCAAATTCCAAACAAGGAAATGTAGCATTATAATGCATTGCTACAAAATGCATATAGATAAAACATTTCCCATCAGTTTGAAATTGAAGAACTTGTAATAGACTTATAAACATGTGGAAAATATTAAATCTACATTCGTATATAGAGTGAACAACAAAACCTAACACAGCATCACAGGCATCCTTTTTTAGACTTGCAGGTTCCTGAACTGATCAATTCAAACACAGTTTCTTTCCTCAAACAATAAAACACTGGAATGATTTGTTACCTTCAAACACTATGATGTCCACCATTGAACAATTAGAAAAAATACACTATTTTTGAAAAATAACTATAAATTATCAATTTGGATGGAATGAGCTGCTGAGCGGAAATCCAAATGAAAAATGAAAAGAAAGGAAAAGAAAAATAATTGAAATGAATAATAAGAAAATAAATGTGAAGGGAAAGATAAGGAAAAATAAGAGAAAGAAAGGAAAATGAAATGCAAGAAAACAAGTTCTTGTAATCTCAAATGCTCCAATGAGGGCAGCATAATAGAGGCAGTGGAGTATAATGGCCCTAACAACCGCCTGCACCAAAAAAATCTATTAATCAATCAGCATGTTTCTAGAGCTTCTGATGCAGTAGAGTATATTGGCCCTAACTTCCGGCCATACAAAAAAAATCTATTACTGAATCAGCCGAATGTTTCTAGAGCTCCTGAGGCAGTAGAGTATATTAGCCCAATGGCCGCCCATACAAAAAGATCTATTACTCAATCGCTGAGCGTTTCTACACCTCCGGAGGAAGTAATGTATATTGGCCCTAACGGCTGCCCTACAAAAACAATTACTCAATCAGCCGAGTGTTTCTAGAGCTCCTGAGGCAGTAGAGTATATTAGCCCTAACGGCCGCCCATACAAAAAGATCTATTACTCAATCGCCGAGTGTTTCTACAGCTCCGGAGGAAGTAAAGTATATTGGCCCTAACGGCTGGCCATACAAAAACAATTACTCAATCAGCCGAGTGTCTATAGAGCTCCTGAGGCAGTAGAGTATATTAGCCCTAACGGTTGCCCATATAAAAAGATCTATTACTCAATCGCCGAGTGTTTCTAGAGCTGAGGCAGTAGAGTATATTGGCCTTAACGGCTGGCCATACAAAAACAATTACTCAATCAGCCGAGTGTCTCTAGAGCTCCTGAGGCAGTAGAGTATATTAGCCCTAATGGTTGCCCATATAAAAAGATCTATTACTCAATCGCCGAGTGTTTCTAGAGCTGAGGCAGTAGAGTATATTGGCCTTAACGGCTGGCCATACAAAAACAATTACTCAATCAGCCGAGTGTTTCTAGAGCTCCTGAGGCAGTAGAGTATATTAGTCCTAACGGCCGCCCACACAAAAAGATCTATTACTCAATCGCCGAGTGTTTCTAGAGCTCTGGAGGAAGTAAAGTATAATTG